TTGGGGTCATTCCCACCTTCTTCCTGTTTAAGAACTTGTAAATGGTCGAGATCCCCGTCCCTAAACCATATATATCCTTGTATGGGACAAAAAAACAAATCATATGAAATAAAGGGCAGGTCCCCTGGGAAAATTAATCAGTTTGTGTGTGTTATATTTGAACATAAATTAAATATATATAGGGTTCTTTCAAGTGCTGAATCTGAACTTGTTTTTAATTAGATAATAATCTATTTTTATTATGAGATAAAGTTTTTGACATTGATAGATAAGTTGCAGATCTGTATTATTTTTTGACACATGAAAGAAACAATATTAGCAACTATTAATTAAATTTGATTATAATATGGAAATAGATATAACATCATATCTGATTTAAGAGAAGTATTTTGCTGGTTTTTTACTGGTTTATGGAAATAAGTTTGAGTTATTTGTTTTGAAAAGTGATGTGTTTAATTGATAGATATAAAATCATATCTAATTTTAGAGATTTATGAGTGGTTACGTCATATCTAATTTTAGAGAATTATTTTGGTGTTTTGTTACTGGTTCATGGAAATAAATTTGAGTTTTATCTTGTAAACGGTCGAAATCCCCACCCCTAAACCATATATATTCTTGTATGGGACAATAAAACAAATCAAACGAAATATTGGGGGAGTCCCCGGGACCACCCCCACCCCCTTCTTTTTGAAAACTTGTAAACGGTCAAGATCCCCACCCTGAAACCATATTATTCTTGTATGTGACAATAAAACAAATCAAATGAAATATAAGGCGAGTCCCCTGGGGTCAACCCCACCCCATCCTGTTAGAGAACTTGTAAATGGTCGAGATCCCCACCCCTAAACCATATATATTCTTGTATGGGACAATAACACTAATCAAATGAAATATAGGGGAAGTCCAGGGGGTCACCCCCACCCCCCTTCTTTTTGATAACTTGTAAACGGTCAAGATCCCCACCCCTGAACCATATATATTCTTGTATGGGTCAATAAAACAAATCAAATGAAATATTGGGGAAGTCCATGGGGGTAACCCCCACCCCCTTCTTTTTGATAACTTGTAAACGGTTGAGATCCGCACCCCTGAACCATATATATTCTTGAATGGGACATTAAAACAAATCAAATGAAATTGAGGGGAAGTCCCCTGGGGTAACCCCCACCCCCCCTTCTTTTTGAAAACTTGTAAATGGTCAAGATCCCCACCCTGAAACATATATATTCTTGTATGGGACAATAAAACTAATCAAATGAAGTAAAAGGCGAGTCCCCTGGGGTCACCCACACCCCCTCCTGTTTGAGTACTTGGAAACGGTCGAGCTTTTCATTATTAATAAGATAATACCACATTGAGGTCCAAAGGGTCCTAAATTAAACTTTTCTTTAATTTCATCAAATATTGAATTCTTTTGTTCTTTGATATGCTGATTCTAACAATGTTTGAGTGTTAAATCATATCTAATTTTAGAGAACTTAGTCATCACTGGTTGTTGTTATTATATTATTGATTATAATTTGAAAAATTGCATCATATCTTATTTTAGAGAACTATTTATCCAGTTTGAGTCATTTCCATTTGCACAGAAAATATTATGGATAAAATTAACCTGTGTTTCATTTCAACATAAATTAAATATATATATAGGGTTCTTTCAAATGCTGAATCTAAACTCTATTTAAATATTAGATTTTTAGGCCCAGTTTTCAAATTGGTCCAAATCAGGGTCCAAAATTAAACTTTGTTTGATTCAACAAAAATTGAATTTATGGGGTTCTTTGAAATGCTGAATCTAACCATGTATTGAGAGATTTTGGATTGTGGGCTCCTTTATCAAATAGGTCCACATTGAGGTCCAAAGGGTCCTAGATTAAACTTTTGTCTGATTTCATCAAAAATTGAATTCTTGGGGTTCTTTGATATGCTGATGCTAATATGTACTTAGATTTTGGATATTGGACCATAATAGGTATTTAAATGTCCAATTTCAAATAATATATCAGTTCTTTGACTACATTCATTTTGTGTCACAAACCTATGATGTGTCAAATATTCAATCACAATCCTAATTCAGAGCTGTTTTAAGTTTAAATGTAGTGTCCATACTTGCTCAACTGTTCAGGGTTCGACCTCTGCAGGAAAATCCGGTTTGCTGTCTCTCTGACAGCCTCTTGTTGTTTATTATTTCAAAAACCACTATAAATAGAGAAAATCTGACAGGGTCAAAAATGTTCAGAATATTAAGCTCTACCTATTGTCCATTGACTTCAAAACTGTCAGACGACTTCTCATAGGAGTTATTGCCCTTAAATGACAAATTTGCCATTGATTGAAATTTTTGCCTATTATCTGAAAAATTATTATAGCTAGATAGAAGCTTAAAAAAGCAAAATTGATCAGCAAGACAAGATTTACAAATAGGTCAACATGATCAGAATTGTCAGCGAGTCCTTATTAGAGTTATTTCCGTTTAGTGACGATTTTTACCAATTTTTTGAGTTATTGCCAAATATCTAAAAACTTTAATAGATAGATAGAATCTTTCAAGTAGCAAAAATGATCAGCACAACAGGATCTACAAATAAAGTCTATATACGAAATCTTCTGTTGACTCATTATTAGAGTTATTACCCTTTATTGACGATTTTTTTTTTTACCAGTTTTTATACGTCCTTTTACGGGACGTATAGTGGTAAACCTCCGTTTAGTCCATACGTCGTCAACTTGTCGTACAACAACACAAAAACTGTTTAACCAATTTTCTTGAAACTTTGGTGAATTGTTAATATCTATTGACCTAAGCTCCCTTTTGATTTTAATAAATTTAAGATTTTACGATTCCGAGTTGTGGGATTTTATTCATAAAAAAGGGGGGATTTTCAAGTTTTCGGACAATAATTCAAAAAGCTTTGAGCAGTTTTCATAGAACTTTGGTGACTGGTTTATATCTATTAGAATAAGCTCCCTTTAGTGTTTTTATAAATTTCTGATATGACATTGAGGAGTAATGGAACTTTGTTGAAAAAGCGATGGGTGTATCATGAGCTCATTGTGCAGCTCTTTATTTGTGTATTTACCTTATATCTTAAAGAATAAAATAAATAGATAGAAACTTTAAAAGCAAAAATGATCAGCAAGACAAGATCTACAAATAAGTCAACATAACCAAAATGGTTATTGAAGTTATTGCCCTTAATGACAATTTCCCCATTTTTGCCTATTATCTTGAAAACTGTAATTGATAGGTAGAAACTTTAAATAGCACAAATGGTCAGCAAGACAAGATCTACATATAAGCAATGATTGTTGAAATCTTCAGTCGTCTTGTTATTTGAATTATTGCCAACAAATGATAATTTTTATACGACCGCAAAATTTTTGCATAGTTTAATGTTATCACGTTGTCAGCATCGTCATCGTCTGAAGACATTTGGTTTTCCAGACAATAACTTGAGTATAAGTGTATGGATCTCTATGAAAATGTACCACAAGGTTTCATTCCACAACAGGAAGGTTGGGGTTGATTTTGGGGGTTATTGTCCTAACTGTTTAGGAATTAGGGGCCAAAAACAACCAGTTCTCTTGCTTGAGGACAATAACTTGTGTATAAGTGTATGGATCTCAGTGAAATTGTACCACAAGGTTCCATACCTCAAAAGGAAGGTTGGGATTGATTTTGGAGGTTATGGCCCAAACTGTTTAGGAATTAAGGTCCAAAAATGGGGCCATAAAAACTAGGATTTTCATGTTTCCAGACAATAACTTGAGTATAAGTCAATGGATCTCTATGAAATTGTACCACAAGGTTCCATACCAAAAAAGAAGAAGGTTGGGAATGATTTTGGGGGTTATGGCCCTAACTGTTTGGTAAAAAGGGGCCAAAAACAATACTTTTTTAATACTTTGTATAAATTGTTTATTTCTTGAGCAATTTCAATGGGGGTTTAATTCAAAGGCTTGAATTTTTGTGGTTCTTTAATATGCTGAATCAAACCATGTATTTAATTTTGGATTTTTGACCCTGTTTTTAAGTTGGTCCACATTCAGGTCCAAAGGGTCCAAAATTAAAGTTTGTTTGATTTCAACAAACATTGAATTCTTAGTGTTCTTTGATATGCTGAATCTAACGGTGTAATTGAGATTTTTATACGACTGCAAAAAATTTTGCGGTCGTATATTGGTATCACGTCATCGTCGTCGTCAGCCTCATCTGAAGACATTTGGTTTCTGGACAATAACTTTAGTATAAGTATATAGAAATCTATGAAATTTAAACACAAGGTTTATAACCACAAAAGAAAGGTTGGGAATGATTTTGGGGGTTATGGTCCTAACAGTTTAGGGATGAGGGGCCAAAAAGGAGCCCAAATAACCATTTTTCTAGTTTCCTGACAATAAATTGTGGAACGGTGTATGGATCTCTCTGAAATTATACCACAAGTTTCCATACCACATAGGGATGATTAGGATTGGCTTTGGGGGGTAATGGCTCAAACCATTTAGGAATTAGGGGCAAAAAAGGGGGAAAAACAAGGGTTTCCTTGTTAATGGACAATTACTTTTAAAGTAAAGTTAAGTTTGGATTACCTCCCTTACACTGCTTTTAAATTATGTATAAAGACATGTTGTATTGTCTTGAGGTGATTAGCTGTCAAAAGTTACTATTAAAAATGCTGATTAAAGAAATTGTTGGGGGGGGGGGGGGGGGGGGGGGGAATAATTTTTTTTTCTCATTTCAGATTTCAGAAATTAAAAAAAAAAAATTTTTTTTTGGGGGGGGGGGGGGGGGTTCAATTCGCAACAGCATAGTGTATTTCACAAAAGCAAAAAATTGAATATAAATTCAAATCATATAACCAATTCTAAGTTCTTTGACTACAGTTATTCTGTGTCAGAAACCTATTATGTGTCAAACATTTAATTACAATCCAAATTCAGACCTCTATCAAGCGCGAATATTGTTTCCATTTTTGCCCCATTGTTCAGGGTTGGACCTCTGCAGTCATATCCAGCTGCGCTCAGCGAAGCAATTTATTAATTTTAGGCCAGGTTTTCAAATTGGTCCACATTCAAGTCCAAAGGGTCCAAAATTCAATTCGAGGGTTTTTATGTCCCCTTCGTAGCTGAGGGGGCATATCGTTTTATCCTTGTCCGTCTGTATGTCTGTACGTTCCAAAATTGGTTTCCATTCTCTAACTTTAGTTTGCCTCAGCCAAATGTTATGAAACTTATACACAATGCTTATTACCACTAAACACAGATCAAGTTTGAATTTTGGTGGCGTCACTTTAACAGTTCTAGAGTTATGCCTGTTTACAAATGGAAAAATTGCTGAATTTTTCGTTTCTGTTCTCTAACTTAAGTTAGCCTCAACCAAATGTTATGAAACTTATACACAATGCTTATTACCACAAAACACAGATCAAGTTTGAATTTTGGTGGTGTCACTTTTACTGTTCTAGAGTAATGCCCCTTTACAAATGGAAAAATTGCTGAATTTTTAGTTTCCGTTCTCTAACTTACGTTTGCCTCAACCAAATGTTATGAAACTTATACACAATACTTATTGCAACAAAACTCAGATCAAGTACAAATTTGGGTAGTGTCACTTTTACCATTCTTCAGTTATGTTCCTTTATAACTTTATATGATATGCAAGCGGGGGCATTATCTGTGTCCCATGGACACATTCCCCATTTATTTTTGTAAATTTTTGGAAGAACTTCGTGGTAAGTTTGTTTGTTATTCTGTATAAATTAATTTTCTGAATGCTATATATACTTTTTATTGTGGAGCCTGTGACTTTTGTCGCAGAAAGCTCGACATAGTGATAGTGATCCGGCGGCATTAACTAACTGCTTAAAAGCTATATATTTCAGAAGGTAGAAGACCTGGATGCTTCATACTTTGTATATAGATACCTTATGTTATGAAGTTTCCGTCTGTCATATGTCCTTTGTCCTTGACCTCATTTTCATGGTTCAGTGACTACTTGAAAAAAAAGTTAAGATTTTTTGTAATGATAATTTCTCTCTTATTATGAGTAATAGGATAACTATATTTGGTATGGCATACCTTGCACAGTCCCCATGCCTGTCAGACAGTTTTCACTTGACCTCAACCTCATTTCAATGATCAGTAAACAAGATTAAGTTTTCGTGGTCAAGTCCATATCTCAGCAGATACTATAAGCAATAGGTCTACTATATTTGGTGTATGGAATGATTGTAAGGTGTACATGTCCAACTGGCAGGTGTCATCTGACCTTGACCTCATTTTCATGGTTCAGTGGTTAAAGTTAAGTTTTTGTGTTTTGGTCTATTTTTCTAATACTATATGCAATAGGTCAGCTATATTTGGTGTATGGAAATATTTTATGATGTACATGTCAGTCTGGCAGTTTTAGTTGACCTTGACCTCATTTTCACAGTTCATTGCTCAATGTTACGTTTTTTATACGACCGCAAAAAATTTGCGTTCGTATAATGCTATCATGTCGTCGTCGTCGTCCGAAGACACATTTGGTTTCCAGACAATTACTTTAGTTTAAGTGAATGGATCTCTATAAAATTTTACCAGAAGGTTCAATACCACAAATGGAAGGTTTGGGATTGATTTTGGTGGTTATGGTACCAATGGTTTAGGAATTAAGGGCCAAAAAGGGGCCAAAAACAAGTATTTTTGTAGTTTCAGGACAATAACTTGTGTGTAAATGTATGGATCTCTCTGAAATTTTACCACAAGGTTCCATATCACAATGGAGAGGCTTGGATTGAGTTTGGGATAATTGCCCCAAACGTTCAGGAATTAGGGGCAAAAAAGGGGCCAAAAACAAGCATTTTTCTAGTTTCCAGACAATACCTTGTGTTTAAGTGTATGGATCTCTCTGAATTTGTAAAACAAGGTTCCATACCACAAAGGGAAGGCTGGCTGGGATTGAGTTTGGGGGTAATTACTCTAATTTCCATTTTTATACGACCGCAAAAAAAATTTGCGGTCATATTGGTATGAGGTTGGCGTCTTCGTCGTCGTAGTCCGAAGACATATTGGTTTTCGCACCCTAACTTTAGTTTAAGTGAATGGATCTCTTTGAAATTTTACCATACGGTTAAATACCACAAAAGGAAGGTGGGGATTGATTTTGGGGGTTATGGTACCAACAGTTAAGGAATTAGGGGCCAAAAATAAGCATTTTCTAGTTTCCAGACAATAACTGTGGAACGGTGTATGGATCTCTCTGAAATTATACTACAAGTTTCTATACCACAAAGGGATGGTTAGGATTTGCTTTGGGGGGTTATGGCTCAAACCGTTTAAGAATTAGGGGCAAAGAAGGGGGAAAAACAAGGTTGTCCTGGTTAATGGACAAATACTTTAGTACAAAACATAATTTAAAGCAGTGTAAGGGAGATAAATCAAATACATCATTGAAATTATCTCCCTTACACTGCTTTTAAATAATGTATAAAGTAATGGTTAATGAACAATTAAGATAATTTAAAACAGTGTAAGGGAGGTAATCCAAATACAACGTTTTGGTTACTTCCCTTACACTGCTTTTAAATTATGTTTAAAGAAATGCATATTTATAAAGGTAGACCAGTAAAAATATCTGCAAATGTTGCATCTTTTTTTTTTACAAAAAAATCCATACGAAAGATTTGACACTATATTTTAAATTCTATTATAAAATAGATCAAGTTAGCACTATGGTAAATTTAAATGGGTAATTATGGTTGCCAACTTTCCATTGGAAATTTGAATTGAGATTATGACCATATCTTGAGGGAAAGAATTTTTTTGGGGAAAAAAGGGGGGGTAAAAAGAAATTGTGGGGGGTCAATTTTTTCTCATTTCAGATTTCAGAAATTAAAAAGAATTATTCTTCAAATATTTTTTTTTTTTTCAAATTTCAAATATTGAAAAATTTCAAGAAGTAATCTTTAATTGCACAGTATGGCACATTAGATTTGTAAAGTCTTTGACCACATTTATTTATTTGTTATGACGAATCTAACCGTGTAATTAGATTTTTAATTTTGGGTCCAGTTTTCAAATTGGTCTACATTAAGGTCCAAAGGGTCCAAAATTAAACTTAGTTTGATTTTAACAAAAATTGAATATATCGGGTTCTTTGATATGCTGAATCTAAACATGTATTTAGATTTTTGATTTTTGGCCCAGTTTTCAAGTTGGTCAAAATTGGGGTCCAAAATTAAACTTTGATTTCAACAAAAATTGAATAAATGGGGTTCTTTGATATGCTGAATCTAACCATGTATTTAGATTTTTTATTTGTGGACCCTGCTATCAAATTGGTTCATATTGAGGTCAAAAGGGTCCAAAATTAAACTTTATTTGATTTCATCAAAAATTGAATTATTGGGGTTCTTTGATATGCCAAATCTAACCGTGTATTTAGATTTTTAATTTTGGGTCCCGTTTTTTAAATTGGTCTACATTAAGGTCCAAAGGGTCCAAAATTAAACTTAGTTTGATTTTAACAAAAATTGAATTTTTGGGGTTCTTTGATATGCTGAATCTAAACATGTGTTTAGATTTTTGATTATGGGCCCAGTTTTCAAGTTGGTCCAAGTTGGGGTCCAAAATTAAACTTTGTTTGATTTCAACAAAAATTGAATATATGGGGTTCTTTGATATGCTGAATCTAAACATGTATTTAGATTTTAGATTTTTGGCCCAGTTTTCAAGTTGGTCCAAATTGGGGTCCAAAATTAAACTTTGTTTGATTTCAACAAAAATTGAATATATGGGGTTCTTTGATATGATGAATCTTACCATGTATTTAGATTTTTTATTTGTGGGCCTGCTATCAAATTGGTTCATATTGAGGTCAAAAGGGTCCAAAATTAAACTTTGTTTGATTTCATCAAAAATTGAATTATTGGGGTTCTTTGATATGCCAAATCTAACCTTGTTTTTAGATTTTTAATTTTTGGTCCCGTTTTTTAAATTGGTCTACATTAAGGTCCAAAGGGTCCAAAATTAAACTTAGTTTGATTTTAACAAAAATTGAATTCTTGGGGTACTTTGATATGCTGAATCTAAACATGTGTTTAGATTTTTGATTATGGGACCAGTTTTCAAGTTTGTCCAAGTTGGGGTCCAAAATTAAACTTTGTTTGATTTCAACAAAAATTGAATATATGGGGTTCTTTGATATGCTGAATCTAACCATGTATTTTGATTTTGGACATTGGACCATAATAGGTAAATTAAAAAAAAATTGAAGTTCTTAGACCACATTCTTTCTGTGTCAGAAACCTATGCTGTGTCAAATATTTAATCACAATCCAAATTCAGAGCTGTATCAAGCTTGAATGTTGTGTCCATACTTGCCCCAACTGTTCCCGGTTCGACCTCTGCGGTCGTATCAAGCTGCGCCCAGCGAAGCATTTTATTAATTTTGGGTCCTGTTGATTAAATTGGTCTACATTAAGGTCCAAAGGGTCCAAAATTAAACTTAGTTTGATTTTAACAAAAATTGAATTCTTGGGGTTCTTTGATATGCTGAATCTAAACATGTGTTTAGATTTTTGATTATGGGCCCAGTTTTCAAGTTGGTCCAAGTTGGGGTCCAAAATTAAACTTTTTTTTATTTCAACAAGAATTGAATATATTGGGTTCTTTGATATGCTGAATCTTACCATGTATTTAGATTTTGGACATTGGACCATAATAGGTAAATTAAAAAAATTCAAGTTCTTAGACCACATTCTTTCTGTGTCAGAAACCTATGCTGTGTCAAATATTTAATCACAATCCAAATTCAGAGCTGTATCAAGCTTGAATGTTGTGTCCATACTTGCCCCAACTGTTCAGGGTTCGACCTCTGCGGTCGTATCAAGCTGCGCCCAGCGAAGCATTTTATTATTTCTGATTTATATATAAAAGCAACAAATACTGATATGTTATGAGATACACACCAAACAGGGTGTGTAAATTATATATAACAGATTATCAGTATTGCGCAATAACAAGAAATCTTCAATTGCACAGTATTGCGCAGTAGCAAGAAATCTTCAATTGCACCGTATTGCGCAATAGCAAGAAATCTTCAATTGCACAGTATTGCGCAATAGCAAGAAATCTTCAATTGCACAGTATTGCGCAATAGCAAGAAATCTTCAATTGCACAGTTTTGCGCAATTGCAAGAAATCTTCAATTGCACAGTATTGCGCAATAGCAAGAAATCTTCAATTGCACAATATTGCGCAATAGCACAGTATTTCACAATAGCACATTATTGAGCAATAGCACAGTATTGCGCAATATCACAGGATTGTGCAATACTGTGCAATTGAAGTTTTCTTGCTATTGCTCAAGAAATCTTCAATTGCGCAGTATTGCCCAATTTCGCAATAGCAAGAAATCTTCAATTGCACAGTATAGCGCAATAGCACAGTATTGAACAATAGGAAGAAATCTTCAATTGAAAATAAATACAAATCTTTTAACAAAATTCAATGGGATTAATTTAAAGTCTTTAATTTTGGGGGGTTCTAACCTTGTATTACTATTTTGGATATTGGGCCCCATTTTTAAATTGGTCTACATTGAGGTCCAAAGGGTCCAAAATTAAAGTTTGTTCGATTTCATCAAAAACTGAATTATTGCGGCTCTATGATATGCTGAATCTTATTGTGCATTTAGATTTTTTTTTTGGGCCCTGTTTTCACATAAGTCCATATTAAGGTTTGAAGGGTCCAAAATTAAACTGTGTTTGATTTCAACTAAAATTAAATTTTTGGTGTTTTTTTATGTGCTGAATATAACCATGTTGTTAGATTTTGGATATCAGACCATACTAGGTAAATTAAATGTCCCATTTCAAATTTTTAAGATCTTTGACCACATTTATTTTGTGTCAGAAACCTATATTATGTCAAAAATTTTATCACAATTCAAATTCAGACAGTATCAAGCTTGAATATTGTGTCCAAACTTGCCCCAACTGTTCAGGGTTCGATCTCTGCGGTCGTATCAGGCTGCGCTCTGCGAAGCATTTTATTGTGTATTGGTCTGTTTTTCTTAAACTATAAGCAATAGGTCATCTATGTTTTGTGTATGGAATGATTGTAAAGTGTACATGTCTGTCTGCCAGGGTTCATCTGACCTTGACCTCATATTCATGGTTCATTGGTCAATATAATGGTTTCATGGTTTGGTCTGTTTCTTGTATACTGTAAGCAACTATATATATATTCAATGTATGGAATGATTGTAAGGTGTACATGTATTTTTGGCTTGGTTTATTTGACCATGACCTCATTTTCTTGGATCATGATAAGTTAATGTGATACTTGTAGTAAAACTTTATATTTAGGGCTATCAACATAAAATCAATGGTATCGGTAGTAAAGTAGGCGAGACATTTCAGTGTGTGCACTCTTGTTACATGAAGCGAACCCCTTTAAAAATTTAGCTAATATTGCCTATTAATAAATATATAGATAAAATTCTTGGTGTACTCGGATATTATGGTCCATTAATAAATAAATAAATAAAATTCTTGGTGTACTTGGATATGCTGAATCTAACCGTGTATTTAGATTTTGGATGTTAGACCATAAAAGGTAAAATCCAATTTCAAATTTTTTTGTTCTTTGACCAAATTCATTCTGTGACAGTAACCTATGCTGTGTCAAACATTTAATCACAATCCAAATTTCGTGCTGTATCAAGCTTGAATGTAGAGTCCATACTTTCCCAACTGTTCAGGGTTTGATCTCTGCAGTCATATCTAGCTGCGCCCAGCGGAGCATTTTATTAACATTTTTAGGCATTTTTGCTCCTATTATCTTGAAAACTTTAAAAGATAAATAGAAACTTTAAAAAGGAAAAAGTATCAGCAGGATAAGATCTACAAACATGTCAACATGACTAAAATTGTCATAATAAGAGTTATTCCAACATAAAAGTTTAAAATATAGCACTATTAAACTGTATTTATGTGGTATAAGATATTATTACCTGCAATATTCAGGATTTAGTCCTTTAGAACAATATGAAAAGCCATTATTATGTTTACAAACAATTTTAAATGGTTTAAAAAAGAAGCAGAAAGGTTGTGTTAAAAGGCCTAGATTGCCAATTCCCATGTCTTTGTTGTACAAAATGGTTATGCTATTAAGAAACAATTTTTTCAGTCTTTTTAACAATGTAATGTTAGAGGCAGCTTGTGTTGTAGCCTTTTTAGCTCACCTGGCCCAAAGGGCCAAGTGAGCTTTTCTCATCACTTGGCGTCCGTCGTCGGCGTTAACTTTTTACATTTTGAACTTCTTCTAGAGAACCACTGAATGGAATGAAACCAAACATGGCATGAATGTTCCTTATGATGTGCTGACCAAGTGTTGTTACTTTGTAGCGGATCCATAATCCAAGATGGCCGCCAGCGGGGGACTTAGTTTAACATAGGACCCTATGGGAAATACATGCAAATGTCTTCTTTAAGAGAACCACTGAATGGAATGAAACCAAACATGGCATGAATGTTTCTTATGAGGTGCTGACCAAGTGTTGTTACTTTGAAGCTGATCCATAATCCAAGATGGCCGCCAGTGGGGGACTTAGTTTAACATGGGACCCTATGGGAAATACATACAAATGTCTTCTTTTAGAGAACCACTGAATGGAATGAAACCAAACATGGCATGAATGTTCCTTATGAGGTGCTGACCAAGTGTTGTTACTATAAAGCTGATCCATAATCCAAGATGGCCGCCAGCAGGGGACTTAGTTTAACTTTGGACCCTATGGGAAATACATACAAATGTCTTCTTTTAGAGAACCACTGAATGGAATGAAACCAAACATGGCATGAATGTTTCTTATGAGGTGCTGACCGAGCGTTGTTACTTTGAAGCCGATCCATAATCCAAGATGGCCGCCTGCAGGGGACTTAGTTTAACATGGGACCCTATGAGAAATACATACAAATGTCTTCTTTTAGAGAACCACTGAATGGAATGAAACCAAACATGGCATGAATGTTCCTTATGAGGTGCTGACCGAGTGTTGTTACTTTGAAGCCAATCCATAATCCAAGATGGCCGCCAGCGGGGGACTTAGTTTAACATGGGACCCTATGGGAAATACATACAAACGTCTTCTTTTAGAGAACCACCGAATGGAATGAAACCAAACATGGCAAGAATGTTCCTTATGAGGTGCTGACCAAGTGTTGTTACTTTGAAGCTGATCCATCATCCAATAGGGCAGCCAGCGGAGGACTTAGTTTAACATAGGACCCTACGGGAAATACATACAAATGTCTTCTTTTAGAGAACCACTGAATGCAATGAAACCAAACATGGCATGAATGTTCCTTATGAGGTGCTGACCAAGTGTTGTTACTATGAAGCCGATCCATAATCTAAGATGGCCCCCAGCGGAGGACTTAGTTTAACATAGGACCCTATGAGAAATACGTACAAATGTTTTCTTTTAGAGAACCATTGAATGGAATGAAACCAAACATGGCATGCATGTTCCTTTTGAGGTGCTGACCAAGTGTTGTTACTTTGAAGCTGATCCTTCATCCATAATGGCTGCCAGATGTAGACAATGTTTAACAAAGGACCCTATCGACAATACATACAAATGTCTTCTTTTAGAGAACCACATACTGAATGGATTGAAACCAAACATGGCATGAATGTTCCTTATGAGGTGCTGACTAAGTTTTGTTACTTTGAAGCTGATCCTTCATCCATGATGGCCGCCAATGGGGGGACTTCCTTTAACATAAGACCCTATGGGAAATACATACAAATACTTCTTCTAGAGGTGCACTGAATGGAAAGAAACCAAAACATGGCATAAATGTTTCTTATGAGGTGCTGATTAAGTGTTGCTACTTTGTTGCCAATTTACTGTTCAAGATGGCCACCAGGATTTTTTATTAAATTACAGGACCAATATTAAACCAAATTTGACCTCACTCATTATTAGGGTATCTGTTATGATTTTAATCTATTTTTACATGATTTCCAAAACCAAAGTAGAATCAGGTGAGCGACACAGACTCTTGAGAGCCTCTAGTTTGCTTTTTTGCGTTGTGGAGAGTTCACTATACTTAGCAATTTTGATTCTGAAACACATTTGTGTGTTGGTGATTTAGAAATTTTTAAAGATTACATTTTTAGCTAACCTGGCCCGAAGGGCCAAGTGAGCTTTTCTCATCACTTGGCGTCGTCCGTCGTCGTCGGCGTTAACTTTTTACATTTTGAACTTCTTCTAGAGAACCACTGAATGGAATGAAACCAAACATGGCATGAATGTTCCTTATGAGGTGCTGACCAAGTGTTGTTACTTTGTAGCGGATCCATCATCCAAGATGGCCGCCAGCTGGGGACTTAGTTTAACATAGGACCCTATGGGAAATGCATACAAATGTCTTCTTTTAGAGAACCACTGAATGGAATGAAACCAAACATGGTATGAATGTTCCTTATGAGGTGCCGACCAAGTGTTGTTACTTTGTAGCCGATCCATCATCCAAGATGGCCGCCAGCGGGGGGACTTAGTTTAAAATAGGACCCTATGGGAAATGCATACAAATGTCTTCTTTTAGAGAACCACTGAATGGAATGAAACCAAACATGGCATGAATGTTTCTTATGAGGTGCTGACCAAGTGTTGTTACTTTGAAGCCGATCCATAATCCAAGATGGCCGCCAGTGGGGGACTTAGTTTAACATAGGACCCTATGGGAAATACATACAAATGTCTTCTTTTAGAGAACCACTAAATGGAATGAAACCAAACATGGTATGAATGTTCCTTATGAGGTGCTGACAGAGTGTTGTTACTTTGAAACCGATCCATAATCCAAGATTGCCGCATGCGGGGGACTTAGTTTAACATGGGACCCTATGGGAAATACATACAAATGTCTTCTTTTAGAGAACCACTGAATGGAATAAAAGCAAACATGGCATGAATGTTCCTTATGAGGTGCTGACCAAGTGTTGTTACTATGAAGCTGATCCATAATCCAAGATGGCCGCCAGCAGGGGACTTAGTTTAACATTGGACCCTATGGGAAATACATACAAATGTCTTCTTTTAGAGAACCACTGAATGGAATGAAACCAAACATGGCATGAATGTTTCTTATGAGGTGCTGACCGAGTGTTGTTACTTTAAAGCCGATCCATAATCCAAGATGGCCGCCTGCAGGGGACTTAGTTTAACATGGGACCCTATGAGAAATACATACAAATGTCTTCTTTTAGAGAACCACTGAATGGAATGAAACCAAACATGGCATGAATGTTCCTTATGAGGTGCTGACCAAGTGTTGTTACTTTGAAGCCGATCCATAATCCAAGATGGCTGCCAGCGGGGGACTTAGTTTAACATGGGACCCTATGGGAAATACATACAAACGTCTTCTTTTAGAGAACCACTGAATGGAATGAAACCAAACATGGCATGAATGTTTCTAATGAGGTGCTGACCGAGTGTTGTTACTTTGTAGCGGATCCATCATCCAAGATGGCCGCCAGCGGGGGACTTAGTTTAACATAGGACCCTATGGGAAATACATACAAATGTCTTCTTTTAGAGAACCACTGAATGCAATGAAACCAAACATGGCAAGAATGTTCCTTATGAGGTGCTGACCAAGTGTTGTTACTATGAAGCTGATCCATAATCTAAGATGGCCGCCAGCGGAGGACTTAGTTTAACATAGGACCCTATGAGAAATACGTACAAATGTTTTCTTTTAGAGAACCATTGAATGGAATAAAAGCAAACATGGCATGAATGTTCCTTATGAGGTGCTGACCAAGTGTTGTTACTATGAAGCTGATCCATAATCCAAGATGGCCGCCAGCAGGGGACTTAGTTTAACATTGGACCCTATGGGAAATACATACAAATGTCTTCTTTTAGAGAACCACTGAATGGAATGAAACCAAACATGGCATGAATGTTTCTTATGAGGTGCTGACCGAGTGTTGTTACTTTAAAGCCGATCCATAATCCAAGATGGCCGCCTGCAGGGGACTTAGTTTAACATGGGACCCTATGAGAAATACATACAAATGTCTTCTTTTAGAGAACCACTGAATGGAATGAAACCAAACATGGCATGAATGTTCCTTATGAGGTGCTGACCAAGTGTTGTTACTTTGAAGCCGATCCATAATCCAAGATGGCTGCCAGCGGGGGACTTAGTTTAACATGGGACCCTATGGGAAATACATACAAACGTCTTCTTTTAGAGAACCACTGAATGGAATGAAACCAAACATGGCATGAATGTTTCTAATGAGGTGCTGACCGAGTGTTGTTACTTTGTAGCGGATCCATCATCCAAGATGGCCGCCAGCGGGGGACTTAGTTTAACATAGGACCCTATGGGAAATACATACAAATGTCTTCTTTTAGAGAACCACTGAATGCAATGAAACCAAACATGGCAAGAATGTTCCTTATGAGGTGCTGACCAAGTGTTGTTACTATGAAGCTGATCCATAATCTAAGATGGCCGCCAGCGGAGGACTTAGTTTAACATAGGACCCTATGAGAAATACGTACAAATGTTTTCTTTTAGAGAACCATTGAATGGAATGAAACCAAACATGGCATGCATGTTCCTTTTGAGGTGCTGACCAAGTGTTGTTACTTTGAAGCTGATCCTTCATCCATGATGGCTGCCAGATGGGGACAATGTTTAACAAAGGATCCTATGGACAATACATACAAATGTCTTCTTTTAGAGAACCACATACTGAATGGATTGAAACCAAACATGGCATGAATGTTCCTTATGAGGTGCTGATTAAGTTTTGTTACTTTGAAGCTGGTCCTTCATCCATGATGGCCGCCAATGGGGGGGACTTCCTTTAACATAAGAACCTATGGGAAATACATACAAATGCTTCTTCTAGAGGTGCACTGAATGGAATGAAACCAAAACATGGCATAAATGTTTCTTATGAGGTGCTGATTAAGTGTTGCTACTTTGTTGCCGATTTACTGTTCAAGATGGCCACCAGGATTTTTTATTAAATTACAGGACCAATATTAAACCAAATTTGGCCTCACTCATTATTAGGGTATCTGTTATGATAATCTATTTTTACATGATTTCCAAAACCAAAGTAGAATCAGGTGAGCGACACAGGCTCTTGAGAGCCTCTAGTTTACATTTGAAAAAATCTAAAACCGATCCTTTCAGACAGGGTGTTACTATACCCTTATACAAAAGTGGACATATTATTTGTCCTTGCATTGCTGTTAAAAATTATTTGTCTCTTTGGAAAAAAATGCCAAGTATAACATCTGATGCTCTGTTTGTCTCTGATGATGGCAATCCTGTAAGTAGACAATTTTTTATCAAACATGTCAAAATTATTTTAGACAATTTAGGTCTTCAAAGCAAAAATTATAATGGACATTCTTTCAGAATTGGAGCAGCAATAATCGCACAGGAAGTAAGATTAGAAGACCACTTGATTAAAACATTAGGCAGGTGGTCATCAGATTGTTATACTAGGTATATTCATACCAGCCCAAGAGTAATTAAACAAGCTCAAAATCAGTTAGTTTCATCAATTTCTTCGTCTTAAACTGTTGTACTGGCAATAAAAGGAGAAATTAACTTGGGGCTACAGCTGCTATGCATCTGTATTTGGACTTTTCGATAAAATTGTATACTTTTATCGTCAAATTTTATCTTATCCCCCAAGTTTTTTGTATCTTAATTTTCATTTATATGTTAAAAGGTGGATAACTCTTAATTGTTATTATGTGTATGCAGCTGTTTAATAGTCCCCAGGTTTTCTAATGTAATATTTCTATTTTTATATTAAATATTAGTTTTATAATAAATAATTTATTAGCACTGGATCTTTATTTAGTCTGAGGATACAATTATTCCACATTGAAAAACAACACATAGATACTTGGTCACTTGATCACAATACTGGATATCAAAGGAGATGCAAGGTATACATCAGTGAGATAGTTTTGTCTTGGAAACATAAGACATTATTAAGGTCAAATACTGTCTTCAACAATAAAGTTATTTCAGTCTTACATTTATGTTGGAAGGATAATCATTATTACCTGTTAACTTTAAGGATGCATATAAATTAACAATTATTTGGATAATTGATGTTTATATAAAGGATTATCTCAGTTTTAGTCATAAGATAGGGTTTCCCCCTTACGTACCTCTAGATCATGTTAGCATCATTTTCAACTTAGTTTGAGATATACGTCATCTATTTTGCTGCTTTCAGATCAATAGCAGTGCACACTTGTCAGATATTTTCATTACGTTTTTGATTGGATTTTTATATTTTTAAATTACCGCCACCATCCCCACCTCTCTCCTTTTGTTGCCAGTGCCTCTGGGGATTATATAGTTATTCATTATTAATTGTTGTATATACATGTACTTATAGCTGTATTTTTATGAATCTTAGTTCTTACATTGTATTTTTTTTTTTAAGTTAGATATATATTTGTTTTATTAAGTCTCCTAAACAAAGTTTGGGAAGACTTATTGTTTTTGCTCAGTTCTTATTATTATTATTATTATTCTTCTTCATCTTCTTCCTCTTCCGCCGCTTTTAAATTTGAACTTGTCCCCACCCGTTCTCCAAAACCGCTTGTCAGATTAACTTAGGGTTTGACAATATGTTAGACTAACATGTTTAGTGGTGCAATCAGGGTTTTGTTTGTGCAATGGGGTTTATAAAGGGGTACTTTGAGGGGCAAAAAGAAAAGAGGGTTTTACTATAGAACCCTATGGGATTTTATTTTTTTTTAATTTTCAAATGATTATAATTTGAAAACCGTTTGTGATAGACACAATCTTTTTAATTGAAAATGTTCTAAATGATAAAGCCCATTAAATGAAATACAGGGTTAGTCCCCAAGGGTCACCCCCACCCCCTGCCATTCAAGAAAGTTCTAATATCTTGTAAGTGGTCAAGATCCCCACCCCTAAACCATATATATTCTGGTTTGTCATGCTAAGATGGTTTGAATGATATACAGGGTTAGTCCCCAGGGGTCATCCCGACCCCCTGCCATTTGAGAAAGTTCTAATATCTTGTAAATGGTCGAGATCCCCACCCCTAAACCATATATATTCTGGTTTGTCATGATAAAGCACATCAAATGAAATACAGGGTTAGTCCCCAGGGGTCACCCCACCCCCTGCCATTTAAGAAAGTTCTAATATCTTCTAAGTGGTCAAGATCCCCACCCCTAAACCATATATATTCTGGTTTGTCATGCGAAGATGGTTTGAATGATATACAGGGTTAGTCCCCAGGGGTCATCCCGACCCCCTGCCATTTGAGAAAGATCTAATATCTTGTAAATGGTTGAGATCCCCACCCCTAAACCATATATATTCCTATTTGTCATGTCTCGAACATTTGAATGACGTATACGGTCAGTCCCCAGGGGTTCCCACCACCCCACAATGTTCTAATATCTTGTAAATGGTTGAGATCCCCACCCCTAAACCATATATATTCCTGTTCGTCATGTAATGAACATTTGAATAACGTATAGGGTCAGTCCCCAGGGGTTCCTCCCCACCCCCAATGTTCTAGTATCTTGTAAATGGTCGAGATCCCCACCCCTTAACCATATATATTCTGGTTTGTCATGCCAAGATGATTTGAATGATATACAAGGTTAGTCCCCAGGCATCACTAATGCATACAACTTTACTGGACCAAACCAATCTTCACTGGACGTTGCCCAATGTCAGGCGACCCTGGGAATTACGAATTATGGGAGCTTCGTTTGGGAGACTTCGTAACAGCATCCTGTTACAATCATTTCTTGTTTGAATAATGTTTTTTCTAAATATACTTTGATATTTTATACTACTCATGCTGACGTATGAGTTTCTTTTACATCTTCTCATGCTTACATATGAGCATTTTTATTCTCTACTCATGCTGACATATGAGTTTCTTTATACCTCCTCATGCTGACGTATGAGGTCTTATTTTCTACTCATGCTGATGTATGGGTTTCTTTTATACTACTCATGCTGACATATGAGTTTCTGTTACATATTCTCATGCTAACATATGAGCCCTTTTATTCTCTACTCTTGCTGATGTATGATGTCTAATTTTCTACTCATGCTGAACTATGAGTTTCTTTTACACTTCTCATACTGACGTATGAGTTTCTTTATATCTTCTCATGCTGACATATGAGCACTTTTATTCTCTACTCATGCTGATGTATGAGTTTCTTTTTACCTCCTCATGCTGACGTATGAGGTCTTTTCTATACTCGTGCTGACGTATGGGTTTCTTTTGTACTCATTGAATATGAGCTTCTTTTTTCTCTACTCATGCTGATGTATGAGTTTCTTTAATATCTTCTCATGCAGACGTATGAGCTCCTTATTCTTGACTCAAGCTGACATATGAGTTTTTTTTTGTGTTTTTTTTTTATATCTTTTCATGCTGATGTATGACCTTTTTACTCTCTACTCATGCTGACGTATGGGTTTTTAATTTTATTTCTCATGCTGCATGTACTTGTGAGCTCTTAATATTTTGTCATGTAAGTTTGAGCTCTTTTACTCTGTACTCACGCTGACTTATGATTTTATGTTTATTTTATTTTCATACTGATGTATGAACTTGTTAAAATTTTACTCATGCTGGACTTTTCGATAAAATTGTATACTTTTATCATCGAATTTTATCTTACCCCCAAGTTTTCTGTATATTAATTTTCATTTATATGTTAAAAGGTGGATAACTCTTAATGTTTATTATGTGTATGCAGCTGTTAGTCCCCAGGTTTTCCAATGTAATATTTTTATTTTTATATTAACAAGTGTGGACACAGATCAGTGTGGATAGTATGATTGGATGTTTGACAGTGTTTTATATGACAAAAGGAGTTCTATGTTTTATGTTTTCTATGTATTAACTGTGTTGCACAATGACAACCAACATGAGCATTAGGGGTGTTGTTTATGTAATATTTAGTTTTTTATGTTCAACACGGGCATGGAAGAGATACTAATTGCATTAATTACCAAATGATTATGATAGGATATATATGTTCCACATCTTTGATTTTGGATACATTTTGTAGCTAGGAGAGGAACACATAATAGGTTCATTTTTTTCTTAATGTGATTTTTTTATATGGGAGATGGTATCTGAGAACATGTATTTGCTTACTATTTGTATAGTTCTATTTATATTACTTTGTGGGGGATTGTCAGTATCATAAGTAAAAGATTTCGGTTAAATGTGGAAATTGTTTCTCAGTTTAGAAGACATTTAATGTTTTATAGTAATGACAATGCCTGACATGATGATTCGGGCTAGATGAGCTAGAACGTGAATTTCTGTGTTATTTTTTATTAATTCTTTGAAAATATCTCCTCGAAAGCTGGTCACAGCAAAAAAAAGTTTTGACCAGTATGAAAATGATATCAACAAAAGAACCTTTGTGAGCATGCTCAGGGACTAAACTTGGGAATTTCAAGCTGGGAGCCCAGACCAGATATTTGATAATTAGTTTCTATATGTTCAACTGAAATTTACCTGAAAGTTTAGGGGCCCAGCTCAAAATCTAGGAGCCATGGGCGACTGGGCTCCCTTTAAGTTTTGTCCCTGATGCTTCAAAGACTCATAACTAACTACAGAAGTCATATGATAAAATGTCAAGTGGATATTATGAACATCTACTTAATATGTTTAAATATCTAAAAAGTTTTAGTATTCAATATGAAAAAGCTATTGCAAAAGTATTCTCTTTTCTGTTTTTTTTTTTGTTATATGGATACAAATTATAAGTGATACCAATACAGTAAGGCAGTTTTGTTATGGTATGAAAGTGTATAACTCGAATAATTCAAGCCCTTTCCGTGTCCGATTTTCTCCCACACGAGGGCTTGAACTCCTTATGATCATTGGTCGCGTCGCCTGCTCTCTGTGAGAGAGAGCCAATCGGTGGCCATCAGGATAATGAGTCTGCGCAACTGTCTTGTAATTGTCTTACCAAACACGTGTGTTCAATTAACACAAATCCGATAATAATTAATTAACATCAATTAACATCAGTTTACATCATTTAACATCAATTAACATCCGGAACTCCTCCTTCTTTAGCTGCCAACTTAAATTAAAATTCCCATATTGC